AGTCGCCGCTCTGCTGCTGGAAAAACCTGCTGCTGCCATCACTGCTGTAATTGAAATTGTTTAAATAATGGAAAATAAAATACTGAAACTGCAATTGATCTTACATTTTCATACATCTTTATCATTAATTGTAATATATAAAGGCAACAGTGTCTAACATTTTCTGATCTTACCTGTGATGTAATTGGAAGAAGAACTGCTGTACAGGTGATGAATGAAAAAATGATAAGATGACACACTGCAAAAAGCTTTATATACTTGTGCTGTCGCCTCCCCCGTTGCACAACCTACCTGTGTGTGTGTGCATGTGTGCGTGTGTGCATGTGCATGCGTGCATGTGTTTGTGTGTGTGTGTGAGTATATGGGTGTGGATCTGTGATCTGTCACTGTGTGGTATGCAAATGTATTTACATACGGGATGGGTTTTATCTTGACTCCAGTCTTTGCTTCCTCAGACCATTCCTTAAGTTTCATTTTCACAGAAAATCTATTGGCATTTTCACTTTACGGGAACAAACTGTACAGACCTGTTCCAAAATACAGCGCACCACTACTCCAGTAAGTTGCTCTTTGGTCAGTCACAGATACAGACTGTATCGGTGAAGTTCTCAGAGATGTTTGAGTGAATGTGTTTAACTGTGTATTGTATATTTGGCTACACTGACTGTAATTTACATAATTTGCTCTGACCTTAGAGTTTTGCTTTGAGAAGGGACTAAAACAACAGCACACTGCCAGAGACAGAGCAGACACTTTAACATGAATTGAGAACATCAAGAGGCAAATGAAAAGTGAAGGAAATGCAGGAAATCATGTTCATGCTGACGACCCGCATCAAATGAAGAAGTTCATGCCTCCGCTTTGACCTTATGGCCTCTCAAGACACAGCTTGACTTGGCTCCTCTTTCTTGAGCTTCAGACTTCTGACTTCAAGACAAAGGAGCTGAAACCACATTTTAAAATGTCAACTATAATCTGATAATTGAATGCAGACATGACGGACAAGAGTTATTGACGTGAAACAACAGCCCCTTCTTTACATGCCCACTCTTGTTTATAACTGTTAAGCTAGCTGCCCCTTAATGTTTTTGCTCTCTTGTTGTGGAGACCTTACATCTCTGCATGCAGTGAGTCCATATGCATTATATAACTATTGCAATAAAACTCAGAAAGACAATTTCTTGGTGAATGATCTCTTTATTACAGGATTTCTACAACAGCCATGACTACCACCATGGAAACAATGAAGTTTAATAGGTCAATCACTTCAGAAATGTGATTTCTACACATAATCTTATCTGTTGTGTCAATTCAATCATGATCTAGCTTACTCTGTAACTCCACAGGACAACATGAGAACAGTTTGTGTTGATTTTGTTTGCATCAAAACATGGAAGAACAAACCAACTTAACTGCACAGTTTACTGTCCAAAGAGTACATTGACCATATGCATTGGGATTCATACCTTGTGTTTTGTCAGTAAATCTGAAATGATTTTATTCCACAATGACCTTATTACAGACAGACAAACTACACTGTTCCTTTTTTAAGCCTGGGGTAGAAGGCATCACTCCATCTTCCCTGAAACATCCAGATTTTTGCTCATTTTTATGGTCATAGATTACCTTTTAATAGTAATAACACATGTGCCCCATATAAATTCCTCCCAAACAACCAGGTTTTTAGTCAGGAGGTCATATTGTCCCCTTTAAAATAGAATAAGTGCCCAGTTAAAAAAGAAAAAAAAAAGATCTTTGGAAGAATCAAATTGTTACCCTCTTACTCCATTCACAAACATAACATAACATCAAATATGTAACATCTTGTTTTAGGTCAAACAATTGAGAGGAATTCATGATTTCAAGGCTACCTCATAGAAATATTGAAATGAACCTGCACATACTAATTGACCTGGAAGTTACAGCTCAGCTCGATTCTCTTTGAGGAATTTTATTATGTTATTAATTGTTCCCAATTCATCGACACTGTCCTCATTTGTGTGTAGCCCCTCAGCTTTCCTGTCCAAAAAGGCCTTGCATTTCTCCAGGATGCCCTTGAAGTTCTCCAGATATGTTTCCATTTCAGGAAAATCAGGAAGTAATGCTTTCATGGTTTGCTTCATAATTTCTATCCTTAGATTCAGTGGGTGCAGGAGCCCTGAAGTGATGGCTATTCTTTCCATCTGCTTTTCCTAATGGGGAAAAATAAAACATCTTAATGACGTGGCACAAACTCAGTTTATGTTGTTACATTGTGACTGACTGACTCACCTTCTCTCTGTCTGTGGTTTTTTGTGCTTTCTGAAGTTTTTCCTCGAGGTCTTCCTGCAGATCCACAGTGAGAGTCAACATACAGTTACAGTTGGGGATGTGAGAGTATGACAGCAGCTTTCATAGAGTGTATATTGTAACAACTGCAGATTAAACAAATATGACTCAGAAAACTTGTGAACCTATGAGAATAAAAGAGTTTAAAAAAACACAACAGTAAATTTTCTCATCCTGACTCACATTGGCTGTAGACTTAACCATGAAATAATTTTCTATCGCAAATTAAGGTTCAAAAATAATTAATTTACCAGTTGGTTCTTGTCCATCACTGAACTTGCAACGCAAACCAGACACAGCAGAGTGAAGATGAGGAACAGGCCTCTGGTTGCTGTGAAACCAGTCGTCGCTCTGCTGCTGGAAAAACCTGCTGCTGCCATCACTGCTGTAATTGGAAATTATAGAAATTAAATGATCAATTACAAATTCAAAATTAAATACTGAAACTGCAACTCCACTTACAATTATTTAATTGTAAATTGTGATACTCAAAGGTCTACACTATAAACTGTCGTGCAGTATGTAATACTTTTTTACCTTACCTGCAATGTAAATGGTAGGAGAGCTGCTGTACACGTGATGAACGACAATATGATGAGAGGACACACTGCAAAAAGCTTTATATACTCCTGCTGTCACCTCCCCTATTGCACAATTTACCTGTGTGTGTGTGTGTGTGTGTGTGTGTGTGTGTGTGTGTGTGTGTGTGTGTGTGTGTGTGTGTGTGTGTGTGGGATGGCTGTTACCTTGTCTCCATTTTGTATCTCTGTTACTTGACACTATTACTTAAGTTTCATTTTCACAGAAATAGTATTGGGCATATTCACTTACAGGAACTACAATAATATGTTACAGGAAACTAACTGGACAAACCTGTAAAAAAAATACAGTATGTCATACAAACTGTACATTGTAGAATACAGTAAACTACAGATATGAAACTGACATCAATGGGGGCTTTGTAGAAAATGTTATCCCCCCACCTTAATACACTTTACACATTTATAACAATGCTTTACGCATTTATAACAATGCTAGGTTTAGAAATACATTGATATTTTAGAGGGGGTGCAAAGAGACAATGGTAACAAGTTTTATGATTAGCCCTTTTCAGTCTTTACTTCATACATGTGCAGTGCTGCAATGCATGAGGAACTCAACAATAAACCCTGTACCAAAATCAACTGGGATTTCCAGCCTGTACAAGTATGAACCTATTGTTTCTTCATCAGAGAACATGAAGTCAGTTCCAGGAAGAGCATCATCCTGTGACACCTGACACCCAGCACCGCAACTTAGAAATTCCTAAGAAAATATGTCCTACATGTTTACTACTAGATAAACTCCCTCTGCTAGTTGCTATTTTCCAAGAAAATGCATTGTTAACTATGACCACCAGGGGTCAGTATTTGATTATATTTAATGTTAAAACTTACAATAAGTCAGAACAAGCTCTGACTTGTGCATCCTGTCATTTTCAATAATGTACGTGTTTATGACCTGTCAGGAACAATGCAACATGAATTACAATGTAGACTGTGGCCAGAATATTATCTGCACAGATAACGATTTTCCCATCTTTATTACAGTTAGACACATTACAATTATATTACACTTTACAAAAGTCACATAGTAATGCAATTTTAGCACTCCAGGTTCACTGGGCAATATGAACAGAGAACAAACTATTTACTGATGATAATCCTGCTTTCTCTCACACAACCTAAAAACTCAAAACATTTGTTCCTCCCAGTTTTCCAGTTTATTCTTTTCTTTTCTTTTCTGTCCGCTGCTTATCTTTTGTGTTCAAGGACTGTGCAATGAATTACAAACAATTCACACATACACCATCATATACTATAGCTACTGTACTGACATTGTGTGAAAAAAAATCTGATATAAATTTTGAGTCTTTTTGTAATATTTAAAATATTAACTCACATGTAGGGTGTCAGTCATACTCAACAGTGCAGTTTAGTCATGATGTCAGTAGGCCTAGTTTAATATCCTAGAGAGAGTTGTGCTTCATTGACCCGGTAGTCCAAAATACTGTGCTGCAATACTTTGGAAGGTTTATTATAAACTGTAAATAAAATTGTACAATAAAGTGTATAGTGTAATGTATACGCTGTAGACTATGAAATGAACTGGTCTTAGTAAACCGATCTGTTATTCTATTTACTACCAATCTATATCATCTATATCAGAGGAAGGCATCACGGCATATCACTCTATTAGCCAAATTACCACTTACTTTAATGAATGATAGGACCACAGTATAGCCAGCCTTATCGAATAAGGAAGTATGCGCACACACACACACACACACACACACACACACACACACACACACACACACACGCGGAAGAAGAGGGATACAGACTAAGACCGTTCATTCCCTTACAATCAATCAAGGAAATTGGCAGCCTTGTTGTGCTGCTTCACCGGGGGTCCTGATTTCACAGCCAGCCTCCGTCACTACTGCGTCAGCACTGATGAGCTCAGCGTTACCGGTGGAGAAGGAGGGAGGGAAGAAGGCTGGTGAGCAGAGAGTGAGAGAGAGCCGGAGAAAACAAGGACAGAGTGAGACAGAGAGAGACAGAGAGAGAGAGAGAGAGAGAGAGAGAGAGAGAGAGAGAGAGAGAAGAACTAGGGTGTTGCCGCCTCTGAGACACACTCACGCATCACAGAGTAACAGCAGCAGGGTGAGAACAGAGCATCCCTCATCCATCCATCCTCTCTGGGAAAACAAGGCTGCTTTTTGAATTATTGAAGCCGCACAAAAACAAAACCCGTTACATTATTAAACATAATCGAAGCCGAGATATTGCGGAGATATACTGAAACCTCGTCGCCAGGAGAGCTCGGTGTGAAAGCAGAAGGACCGTTTCAGCACCTTGGACAGCGACAATGGCTCCTATGGTGGAGGACGGAGCTCAGCTCGGTGAGTCCAAACTCTGGCAGCTTTAATCAGCCTGAAAAGACACAGGTGTGAAAGTGGCGGTGCTTTTTCTTCGTCTTCAACACACGTGACTCATCTCTAAAGACTTAGTGTTATAATTTGTTACTTTCTAATGTACGCTCTGAATCTTGACCACCTGCTTTTAAAAATAATAATAACAGTCTGCAGGTAGGTTCGAGTTGCCTCTTTTATGAAATATTACCCAAGAGACAGTGAAGAGCTTTGTCCAATGTTCTGCCTAAACATTTTGCTGAATAACATAATGTGTAAGCCTCCATTTTGCGGCTAGCTTTAGGGCGACAGCTAATTATCAGAAAAACTAACCAGCAGGGTGGAGGCAAGGGAAATGTTTTTACGTTATATATATTTGCAAGTTAATTTATTATTTTTATAATTATAATTTTGAATGAAATAAGTGTCACTACAGAACAGGTGAAGCCTGGCCAGCACCTGTTTGTTTTCTTTAATTCCTCCCGGTTTCAGCGGCTCTCACCGCCCTCCCGTTGCCACATCCGTCTGTTGTTGTTGCCTTGAAACCCACCCAGGACACTGGAGTGAAATATTGATGAAACAGTCTGTACAAGTGCTGTGATTTACAGTTGACATGAGCTGACTTTCCGCCGCACTGTTCACCCATGGATGAGTCTGAAATGAGAGGCAGTCTCTTCAGATCATACATATTACATGGATGCTACACCTTCAAATATAACAGCAAAACAAGCTTATGGAATATATGCTCATATGATGCAATAACCTCTGGAATAATACCTTAGGAAATAGGTCTATATGATCAGAATTAGCAACAATGAAGTCAAACTGTTATGTAATATCAATATAAATTCCTTTATGTCAGTATATGAAAATAAGTAGTAAAGTACATATTGTGTACATATATGGTAAACAATATGTCTCCAACAGAAACACTAAGGCAACCATGCTTTTATATGAATTTGTATTTGAATGATCGCAATGTTACAATACTGATTATCTGATGATCTATTTCGCATGATCTAATGCATGTGAAATACACCCACCCACCCCAACCACCACCCCTCTCCCTCTCTCTCTCTCTGAATGGGCCTGAGTGCTTTTCCACTTCCCTCTTAACAGCAGGAAGTGGTCTGCCTTTCCTCCACTGAAATAGACCTATTAACTCTGACTGCACGAGAAGGCCGCGTGATTGTTGTTGAGTCACAGTTTAACACCTCGAAACAAAGAACTGAAGCATTCAGTGGCAAATCTCCATGCAATATGTATCCATGGTATCATTTTAGTGATATTATAGCAGACAAAAGTACCATTGAAAGGAATTAGGTGCCTGTAAGTACCACTACTTTTGAAAAGAAAATTTGATAAAGAGGGGCTGGGTTAAGGTTAATGCAGGGCTATTATGCCGTACTTGTAGATGAGATCTCAGAAGGAACCACCCTGCCTATACACTGCTTTGCACAAAACCTAATATAATCTATAAGAATCTATTTCACTATGTTATATGAGATGATGTTGGTTCTCTGATATCTATTGTTCCTGATGTTTCCTTTCGTCAGTCAAAAAATCTCTCCCATAAGCTGTTTACATTATAGGTCTGCATATCATTGACTGATTATGATGATGATCTTCTTAATCTTTGTCATTATCAAAATGAATGTTATGACACCAGATAAGAGAAAAAAAACTGACATTGGAGTAAATTTGTTTCTCCATTATTTCTTCTGCCTTCAGCCATTTTTATCAACCTGCCAACAAGAAATCAGCCAGTCACATAATGACGTTATGTAGCTTTCCCATTTTCCCATTCCCAGCAGTTCATTACGTTCATTACACCAGCTGTTTCCTGTTGCTATACTGTGGCCTTGTTTGGAATTTGAACACAGTAATGATGATTCTTCATCAGGGTGGAACAGATTGATCATTGTTTTCATCTCTGTCTGAGTCAAGACTGCAGCCTGCGTCAGTCACAAACACAAAATGGACTCAAGTGCCTCAGTACAACAATGAAATCTGTTGAGGTTGTGCAACCTCAAATTTTTTTATGTGTGATTGTTTTACTGCTGCTTGTTCCACAGTGTTTATTGGGGTATGTAGTTAGATGCTTGATTAAAGTTAATCTTTCCTCTCTCCACTCTCTGTCCTCCTCCACAGTGGCAGTACCAGTAGGTGTAGCTGTGATGAGTGTCTTTGGCCTTGTCTTCACTGTGTCAGCCTTTGCGTGGATCTGTTGCCAGCGTAAAAACACCAAATCCCAGAAGACACCTCCCTACAAGTTTGTTCACATGCTCAAAGGGGTCGACATCTACCCAGAGAGCCTCAGTGGCAAGAAGAAGTTTGCCGCACCTGCCACCACAACAACAAATGACACCAGTAAAACTGACGTTAACGGAAACTGCCACACCGTGTCACCTATGAGTCCGGCTGGCACCGGCAAACTGGCATCAAGTCCAAACGGTTCCAGACCGGCTCTGCATCTAGATCTGGAGAAACGGGATCTGAATGGCAACTTCACCACAAAACCATTTCACCACCACCACCAGAAAGTCCGGAGCTCCCCAGACCTGGAGCTGCCATCTCCTCATGCAGGGTTCACCCAACCTGGGGTAACTGACCGCCGTGACCTCGCTTCACCATCCAGCACCCTCTCCAGCCAGGCACCCACCCCTGCTGTGGACAAGCCCCACGGAGAGGAGAGGGACAGTGGGTTAGGGACTCTCCACTTCTCCCTGGAGTACCAGCCAGAGAAGAAGGCATTCATTGTCCATATCAAGGTACTGTATGTGTTTAGGATGCTGTTTAGGTGTGTGTGTCTTTACAATCACAAAAAAATGGTTTCACAGTCTTAACTGATTGATTGATTTCACTTTCTGATCCAGGAAGCCCATGGCCTGACCCCAACGGATGAACAGTCGCTGACCTCTGACCCCTACATCAAGCTGACCCTGCTGCCAGAGAAAAAACACCGGGTGAAGACCAGAGTCCTGAGGAAGACTCTTGACCCCGCCTTCGACGAGACCTTCAGCTTCTATGGGATCCCGCTGGCCCGAGTGTCAGAGTTGGCCCTTCACTTCATGGTGCTGAGCTTTGACAGGTTCTCCCGCGACGAGGTCATCGGGGAGACCCTCGTCCCCTTGTCCGGGATTGACTTGTCAGAGGGGCGTGTCCTGATGAGCCGAGAGATCATCAAGAGGAATGTCAAGGTAAAATTTGAATTCTTGTTTTGTGTTTCAATCATCTTCAGCTTCTCTTCATAGACACCCTCATTCAAATGTAATCTTTTAATGATTTCATTTCAGTTGATTGATTGGAATTAAATTTATATAAACAGTAAATTGTAACTGATTTCGCAGCAGGTAATGAAATTATGAAATTGTTCCAGTAATGACTCATAATTTCTCTCATTGTAACTTCAGTTCCTGCATCACTAGTCCCTAAAAGCAATGCAGCAGGAATGTATAAAACAAAACTGAATGATTCCCTTATTGAAATATTAATCAGTACATAATCATTCATAAAGTCATTTACTTATTAAAATATCATTAATCATAGAGCTTTTTCTAACTCATCTAAATGTAAATGCAGCATATTATATTTCTTCAAACCACATTGAAATATTTCATAATACCTTAAAATCTTAATTTAACTCCAACAGCAAAATATACATCTTGAATGAAAGTTTTAATTTAGAATGTGATTGGTATCTTTTGCAAATGCATTGGAGGAATTCATTTTCAAAGTATCTCTCTCTAGTTACATCAAAAAGGGGTTAATGTTAAATGAAGTCAATAGAGGAAGCAGATAGGAGGTCTGTTGCACCATTATGGATTTGCAAACTGATACTGAGGCTGTGCTTTAATGGACTGCTGGGAGTTTGGATACCAGAAAGCCTTTGCTGTTACTTTTTTATTGTTTCATCAGTTTTATCTTTAGTTTATAATTTTTTTGTGTTGTTGTTTTTACAAAATCGACTATATTCCCAAACTGCAGATTTTTCCGAAATCCTGAAAATATGTCATTTACTGTATGTGATCAATACATTCACAGCCAGATTCAACATGACATGACATGTCTCCTCTCAGAAATACTTCGCAATCAAGACTTTGATCAGTGAATAATCTCAATTGTGTTTATTTTGTATTTAATTTTATGAACATTTTTATATCCAAACAACACCAGAGAATTAAAACAGTAATGCAAGTAAGGCAAATGGACATTTATGCTCCAAGTAGTGTATCAAATAGATGGGGTGATATCCAAACCACACCAGTATGGATCTGTGGGCTGGTGGTCAATAAGCTTCTCCTCCGGACTGGCTGTTCCTGGCAACTGTGAGGACCGCAAATGTACTGTAGCTCATTTCCAGTAGGACATCTTTCCTTTTAGAGGAATGTAATGTACTGTAGAATCAGCACCACTGTGAGATGTGTTTCCTTTGAATGCACGGGACTGAAGTTGGATTATAGCAGCAGGTTTGGCTGCATTACTTTGTGTATTGGTGAATTTAAAAGATGGAGTGTAAGATGATATCTACATCCTTATCGTAGGCCTGTGGTCTCGTACAGCATTACTCTATAGATTTCTACTGGATGGTTTGACTGTACATGAGCATTTGTCCATTTGTAGGTGAAATGTGAGATGATATCAATATAATTATAGATTTGTGGTCTGATATTGTTCTCTGCAGAGCTGTGTTAAACTGGAAGCTCTGTGCTTTCCAGGTGGAAGCAGATACATGCATGCACATTTGTACCTTCCCAGGAGGAAAGAGAGCTATCTGTTGTATCTGTAAAGATCGCTGATATGATAGTACTCCAGAAAAGTGCTGGGAAATGCAGCTGTGATTCAGAGATATAAAAGGTTCATTCTCTCCCTGCAGAACTCCCTCTGTATTTTTATCATCAAGAGGACAATATTTCTTAAACTATGTTCTGCTGGCTCCCCCCATGCTGAGACTAACCTTTTTTTCAGTTCTATTTCTCATTTGGTTACCAGGGGAGGCAAATCTCATAAAGCTCAGCAGTAGGGAGGAGTCTGTACTATCTGAACCTGTATTTGTGCAATCAAAAGGAAATTAGTTTTAGAATCTGTGGTTTGCAGTGGGTTATTTTTGGATTATTTTGTTGGATTAGATGTTGGCAGGTGCAAAGAAAAAAAGGCTTGACCTCTTTTATTTAATTGCTGTGTATCAGCTGCACTCGTAAGTTGTTTTCTTTATTTGAACAGAATATATTGGTGCTAGCAAATAAAAGTGAAAATTTAGTCATGATGGTGTAACATTGTTCCTATTTACACCCTTAAAAGAACAAATAGACAGAATAGTTTATTCAGTATTACATCTGGTATTTAATGTCTTTGTGTTGTTATGTGTATGAAATGCAGTGAGACGTGTTTTAAGAGGATTTTTGGCTTAATTTTCTCAATTAAAGACATCGACATTGTTCTCTGTTTAGAAGCACCTCTTTGCTAACAGGGTGGTGGCTCTCTTTGTCTGCGTGGCATAGATTTTGTCCTACTGCTTTGTGCAAGTCTGTGTGTGTGCTGTTGTGCATGTGTTGTGTGTGTGTGTGTGTGTGTGTGTGTGTGTGTGTGTGTGTGTGTGTGTGTGTGTGTGTGTGTGTGTGCAGTAATGGAATCAATACAGCGTGTCACAAACAGCGTAGCCATCGTCCTCTTTTCACCCTGGAAGAGACTAAACCAAGAGAATAGAATAAAATATCTTATGTGTCGGAACCTATTCCTGTCAGCTATAATAAATCTACAGTTTCCTCAAGGGAGAGAAACAGAAGTACTTTGGCAGCATACTCATGGACCTGAACATGAGGTCAGGGCTAGAAGTTGTCTGTGTGCTACTTCTCATTGCCATGGCAACACGTAGTGGAGGCGTGATATCCTGTTAGGTGTGATCACAGCATCTGAGGCGTCAACTGTTTTGGGTGCAGACACAGATGTGGATGTGTGTTGGAGAACAGTGACCCAGTGAAGGAGATAATGCAGAGCAGATTAGGGAGCTTCTCAATGACACGCTTGTGCTGGTTAAGATATGAGAACACGCCACGTAGGCAGGTGGTGATTATTTAGTTGACAGCTGTTTAATCTTCAGCAGAGACACCATGCATTTTTCATCACAACATTGTTGATAGTAGCTAATTAATGAAGTATACATAGATATATATACATGTATATATGTATATATATTGAGAGAGAGAATATACATATATATATATATATATATATACAACGGTGCTGCACTTTTTTTCTTAAATGTTTGTATCATTTTGGAGAATGTGTGTGTATATGTTGGTATATTATACATGGAGGCTGTATAATGTGATTTTATTATACTTGTATGATGACAACTGGAGACCATCTTGTGATGAGATCACACCAGCCACAATTCCCATCAACATGGCATTCTGACCCATGAGTAATTATTACATTATGACATAAATACTGAGTAATTATTATATTATTACATGAGTACTCAGTACTATGGATCAGACCACACCCATCTTCGAACTTGGCCTTCATTTTAATCTGAACTACACATCTGTTAAGTTTTGTGACTGAGTCTTGTACGGTTGTGTTGCTATTGCAGTGACAACATCTGTCCACAGACAGGCACATAAACAAAGTTAAAATAATACTAGCCCAGCTTTCATTGCTGGAAATACAGGTCTTGAATTGTTTGGTCTCTTGCTTTATTGTTTGGGTGCCAGCTCAGGTCTGGTTTAGAAGCTGATACACGTCTGAAGTCTCCTCTTCTCTGTGTCCTTTCACACCTGCCATCTCTCCCTTCATCACCTTTTTGTTTTATCGTTTTCACTCCTATTCTGTCTCGCACCTCCTCTCACCCATTCACCCCTCCCCGTCTCTCCACAGAAGTCCTCAGGCCGAGGCGAGTTACTGCTGTCTCTGTGTTACCAGTCCACTACCAACACTCTGACTGTGGTCGTCCTCAAGGCTCGCCACCTGCCCAAGACTGAAAACAATGGACCTTCAGGTACTTCCACTTTTGTCTTAACCTTTCAAAATGCTATCCATGGTGTCACTGTCTACACAGACAAACAGCATGTGTGCACACACTTCATTCACCTAACAATAAACAGATGAGGCTGAAAACTTTTTGCTCTTCCTGTCACGCAGCCCAGATTACTTTAGATTCTCTGATAGTTGCTATAATGACACCGCGACCGCACTCAAGTAATCTGATCAGGATGTGATAGAGAGCACTTAAGTGACAGCACACCCCCACCCCCCCACCCTCCCATCACACACCACACACACACCACACACACACACACACACACACACACACACACACACACACACACACACACAACAAAGACACACACTAAGTGTTTACACAGCCAGCATCTTTTGTCCTCATTTCTAACATCCATCATTTCCACTCTATTGATCGCTGTATTGATCTGGCTTAGAAGTGATATGCCACTCTCCAACCACTGCAGGGATGACTCTTCATGCCTTTTTTTCTTCTGTTCTTACTTCATCTGTTCTTGTCATTGTTCTTCTTTAGATCCATACGTCAAGGTGAACATGTACCATGGAAAGAAGCGCGTGTGCAAGAAGAAGACCCACGTGAAGAAGTGCTCCCCCAACCCAGTCTTCAACGAGCTCTTTGTCTTTGACCTGCCCTCTGACGAGGGCCTGAGGGACACCAGCGTGGAGCTGCTGCTGATGGACTCAGACACAGGCAACTCGCGCAGCCCCAACACCGTCCTTGGGCGCCTGGTGCTGGGCACATCGGCAGCGGGAACTCCCGGCGAGCACTGGAGGGAGATCTGCGACCACCCGCGTCGCCAGATCGCCAAGTGGCATGCCATGTCAGAGGATTAGAATGCCAGGGTGTTGGTGGATTCTGACGTCCATCCCATATGTGGTCAAACACAAGGGGGATGGAATGAAGATGGGCAGGATTTAATGTCCTGCCAACCAGTACTCATTGGACTTTCAGTGAGGGTGGGAAATGGGGTGGGGGGTGGTGGGGTGTGGTGGGGTCGGGGACTTTGATGTTGTGGGGAGGGTCATTTGAAGTGATGTCATCATTCATTCAATCAGTCATTCAATCACTTATCTTTGAAGTTATTGGGGTTCACTGGGGACGGCGGGGCATGACAACCCCATAGCTTTAAACGATCCCAAAGACTGTCACTGAAAATCACCTGGTAACATGCAACATCATCTCCATGGCAACAACCAATTGTCACGGTAACCGTGTGCAGTGCAGAATGTCTTAAATGTCGCTATTACTCTTCTTCTTTTCTTCCTTTTCTTCTTCTTCTTCCTCCTCTTCTTCCTCTTCTTCCTCTTCTTCTTCTTCTTCTTCTACTTCTTCTCTTTCTTCAGCTCTCCCTTCTATAAATAGTAACCTAGTCCATCGTATGAAAACCAGAATGAACCACATCTGACAATGCTGTAAAAAATGTGGATTATTAAAGTTTATTTTATAATGACAACGTTTTCTTCATAAAGATGTAGATTGTTTTCATTTATGTTTTTGTTTTGTACTCCTCTGGTTGATTTGTTGAATATGTTTTGTAAGTATAAGTGGTATTTCATATCATCACAAGAAAGCCTAAATTAGGTGGTTTGAGAAAAGAAACTGAGACTGAGTGCACTGGGGACAGTAACTGGATGCATTAATGTGTGTGTGTTTCGATATGAGAGTGCTTGTGCTGACGCGACTGTGTGAGTGTGTGAGTGTGTATGTTAACTTTGAAGAAATGTGAGCCACATAATGTTTACTGTAGGTGTTTTGTCCCCCTTACTGTGAGCACAAAGACAGCTGAAATGTAAATGTATGTACCTTACTATAAAATATGGCAAGTTCTGAGAAAAAAAAACAAAACTGTATTTGCAGTTTTCATTTCACATGACAACACGTGACATTAATTGTTTGTGTGTATTCACAAGTACCTTATAACCACTAGAAACATTTGTAGCGCTAAGTTAAAGCTACAATATGCAAATTCTGGAAATCAAAAACTCAAAACATTAGAAGTGGGTCAAAACGCCTTTGACAGCATCTCTCCACATTAAGATGTGTTTTTAAAACATATTTCAACAAAAAAAAAAGAAAAAACGTTACATACTGTAGCTTTTAGGCTAAACTCGGTTTTATTTTATCAGTTTTAAGTATTGTAACATCTGATGGCTTCATTACACAAGAAATCACTTATAGGATTGTTCTATCTGAGATAAAAGCCTCTTTTAAAATGTAACAGTCTGAGTATTGACTTATGCGTGTGTCCTCACCTCCAGCACCCTGGGGATGAAATCATCTGGATCCTTTCCAAGTCTGATGATGTAATAACTGCTGAGTGGCTAAGTGCTCTGGGATGAAGTCATCGTGTCTGAATTTAATATCAGTTAAGTGGTTGAGTGAGGGAGGACAGCTGGCTCAGCATGCTTACTCTCCCATTTTTCTTTCTCTTTTTGTTTTACAGATACAATCAAAAACAACCTTTTAATTACTTCTCTCTTCATTCTGCCTCTGTCACAGCTCTTTCCATCCTTCCTCCAGTCTTTAGTGTTACACCAAGTTACATCATGTGTTTGGTGGTGGAGCCTCTGGAGAAGCAGGATGCTCTGTCACCCTGTACTTCCGACCTGTGAGGTCGCTTTCTTGATGAGCTTCTATTTTAAACTACTGCTGTCATCCTTTGAGGCAATAAAATAAACCAAAGCATGGTGCATCCCTCTATTCCTCACCTCGTCTGGCTAACCAATCGCAATTAAGCCACTGAACACTTATTGTAATGATCTTTTTTCAAGGACATTTTGACAATTGTGTCAGTGATTTCTCATCTCTGGAGGCAGGAAACAGCCAAGTCATACTGCACCATTATAAAAGCAACAGTCATGATTTAACAAAAAAGAAAAACCTAAAAATGACCATACTGTGTATTTATTCAAAGCTGGAGCAATCAATATTCTTTATGAATAATGAGTCTAATGACTCAAATGACCATGTAAAAGGAATTGCTCATAATGATGAACCCACACAGAAATATGGCCCGAACAAGGAGTTCCCCTCAGCTCTCCGGAGTAGCATCTTTTAGCTTACAGCTGCAACTTTACTGTTTTGGGTCACTCCTACTGCTCTCAGCAACATAGTTTAGGCAGATATAAACATTTTTTAAAAAAAACTCAAAACACATTGTATGCTACCCTCCCTGTACATTGCATGTAGCATATAAGCTGCTAGCTGCTGAACAAAGTGTAGCATATAGCAGCTAAAGAGCGAGACATTGCCCTCATGAGATTGTGGAGATTTAAACAGAGTTAAAAGGGAAGTGAATATTTCACTTATATTAACCAGCCGGACAGAAACATGTCCTCAAATGAATGCTATTGTTGCTCCATATCTGCAGGATGTGTAAATAAGCAAGTGTTTGCTAACTCATTTGTCACATTAACTTTATAGTGACGTGTCGAGCTAGTGTTTACTGCTTGTTGTGCTTTTATTGTATGCCATTCATATTTGCACTCCAGAAAATATTTTTGAGGAGATTTTTAAAGAGGTGAAATCAGGCTGTGATTTCTTAAATGAAACCCTCCCACATCCCCATCATCAAACATCCCTCTCCCTCCTCTTTCTTTTTAAATTGTGCAGATATATTGATTGACTGCATGGTCTTGTAAACTATTCATCCCGGCCATTTGTCCAAACAAGTCCTAAACTCTTGCCATCCTCTGTCTGGCTGTCTCCCCAGGCTGCTAAGCCTATTATCAATATATCTGTTCAATAATGTGATATCTAAGCAACAAAATACAATAAAGGAGTGAAGGATGAAATGTTGGTTTGAAACGAAGAAAAAAAAAGACTGGTTGAATAAAAAGCTCATTATTATCTCCCCCAAACACAAAAAGAAAAAAAACAATGAAGAATTTTTTTCAAAAGATCTTTAGGTTTTCTTTTGACAACAAATGTCAGTCTCATTATACCCAAACAAAGATTATTGTGACCAGTCAGTGGAGGAGCCTTTCATTTTATTTAAGTTTCTTTTTCTTTTTTTTTCACATTGATTCAAGTGTCAGACAGCCGGTGCAAGGTCAACAGCCTCCTGAGCTTTTCTGTACCACTCTGCTGCTTAAATGGCATCTTCACACACACACACGCACACACACACACACACACACACACAAAGCGAAACTGCAAATACACACCCTTTATATTTCATAATTATTTCATAGCTACTCCACTCCAAGACTGATGTAGCTGCAGTGAACACTCTATGTGAATGAATAGCATATGTTAGCATGACTCAGTGTGCTTAAGTGTGTGTGTGTGTGTGTGTGTGTGTGTGTGTAGTGACAGCTGGCCCAGTAGAGCAGTTAGCAGTGGTCCCTCAGGATCTAATCAGAGTGGCTTCTGTGATGCAGAACTAGACCCTTACACTCCAGTGCAATCCTCAGTGACACACACACTCACACACACACCTTCACACACACACACACACAGGCATGCCCTTATATACATGACTATATAACCTGTCTAGACCTCAACATCTGTCCCAGGAGGGTCATCTGATTCACAGAGACAGGTGTAGAAATCAAATCACTGACAGCAGAGTGTGTGTTATCTAGAATACAAAGGAGTTGTGTGTGTGTGTGTGTGTGTGTGTGTGTGTGTGTGTGTGTGTGTGTGTGTGTGTGTGTGTGTGTTGTGTGTGTGTGTGTGTGTGTGCATGATTGTGTACCAGAAAGGGACTTGCCCTAATTAGGGAACTTCTGGGAGAGCACATGAACCAGATTAGATATCTCTGTTCTTATTAATGCCTCCCATCATCACGGTTGAGCAACGTCTCTTTTATTCTAACTCATCCTGCTTTTTTAGAGCTCTTTTTAGACTGTAGCTGCAGTCTCATGTTTTTAGTAATAAAAGAAATAGAGGCTTCACTCTTAATTACCAAAAAAGCCGCAATAGGCTAGACTTTTAGTGAAATAGAGATTTGGGGGAATTCAAGTTCAGGGGAATTTGAAGAGAAAGGAAATTTTACAGCCAGAGTGGATTGCACCAGCTATTCATAAAATCCTCTCTCTGTCTATAAAGTCTTTCCTAAATTCTCCCTTAACTATTAGCTCGTTTCAAACTAATAATTTATTCCATTGTTAATGTCTTTGCTAGTAAAGACTTAGCTGGTAAAAACAGGAAGTCACTGTAGCATCATGAGCTGTAACATTACTGTGAAAAATAACCCTTTATTGGACCTATATCAAATTTAATTGCCTATTCTTTGAGAATGTGGGTATACATGAAGAAATGTTGTATGTGCTTGGAGTTAGCAGTATTCATGCAGTTTAAAGTGTGTGGAAATATCCAATTACGCTAGCTTAATGGACACTATGTAGTCATTTAGCCTGATGCTATTATCATAATGTTTTGTAGTTTGATGTTTGTTTATTTTGTGAATTTTAATTTGAAATCATAACAGTTTGCTTCATTATCAAACAGTTTTTTCATATATGTCGACCATAATTCACAGTACCTACTTTCTGTTTTAGCTCTCTTAAACAGGTCATGTCTTAGAAAGCTAATGCTAGCTTTCTCACTCAGTTAACTGCAACACATTTGCCATACCTTTAATGATGCATGAAGACTTATATAAAGGCTGAATCTGAACTTATTTGAACCTACAGCTCCTCATCTTCTGAAATGTAGCATAAAATAAATTGCAATTCAGACCAGAAGCTTGAAGTGCTAAGTATGCACAGTACTCCTTTAAAGCGCACCTAGAAAAGATCAATCTGCAGAGGGAGGCAGTGGAATCAGGAGAGGAAAGTTTTCAAAGTAAGACTGCCGAAGAGGAGGAGGAAGAACATAGATGGCCGGAGGGAAAGATAAGCAGGGTAGAAGTTACTTCGGCACATGGCGAGATGAGTCGGCGAATAGCTGATGTGTGTGGGTTTACAGACAGCCATTTAGCCGGGGATCTCAGGGTCATTTTCAGATAAT